AGTCCCAAGCAATTTAACTTTTTTCTGCCCTTTGTATTGATTTGCCCACACAGATAGTCATCTACTTTCATATGCATATGGGTTAAGCACAAATTAATTAAAAGCAAATTTACATAATATATTAAAAGAATTTCTATGCTTGCCTGAATGACAGACTATTTAAGTCTCAAAACTTCATTCATCAAAACAGGTAATATTCAATGTTTGCAAATTTTAGATTTTTTTAAAGCCTTTCTGCAGTAACTTGAGCAAATATTTACACTCTTCAAAATTCTGACAACCAAGTATTTCCTGCTGAGTCATCCATCCAGCTGTTTCAGGTGGCCTCTTTGACATTATTCATATGTATCAAGGAATCCCTTGATCAGAGCCCTTGGTCCATTATAGGGATTTTGACCATATGGAATCTACTGAACAAGTAATACAAACCTTAAGCATCATGGAAAGATCTTCAGTGCACTGCATTTGAATTTCTAATGTGAGTTTAGGGCCCAGCCAGGGAAAATACTCTGTTTGACCAGCTGCTTAAAGAGGAAAAACACCTGTGAGCATCAGTTAGGGTTGCAGTGACCAGGAGAAGATGAGATCAAGATTTGGAGAAAGGCAAAGAACAGCCTTCTGGACAGAAGATTTTGTTTTCAGGACAGCAGATTTTTACTTATTTAGAATGTTGCTGATTAATACTCTTGGTGCCTCTGCACCATCCAGAATAATTAGCTGACTTTTAAAGAAAAATTATTTGGAGCTCAGGAGAAAAGGACCCCTTCATGCAGGAAGAGCACAAATTTCTGTAAAAATTTCACCATTACACAGAGAACTTACATGCTAGAAATCATACAGGAAGTGAAACAATAACAGAAATCAAAGAAAGACTATAAAAGTATTGCTCATTCTGTTAAGGATAAAAAGGCCAATACCTGATTAGGGCTAAAATTAGTTAGGGGCATAAATGTAATAGGAGGAGCTCTTACATGTATGCTAATATCAGAAGGAAATTCACTGAAAATACAAACTGCTGAATGGGAGAACCAATTGGCTGCTAGATTATATGGAAAAGGCTGAATTATTTAAAGATATTTTCACCTCAGTCAAAGCCTACTTTTTATATTCTGTAAATACCTGTCCTATTTTGGATGCAGGCTTACAAGAGACCAAGAATTAGCTTAAAAATGTTGATCTTAAGTACAGGATGCCAGATCAAATTGAGCTTGACACCTCAAGGTGTCAGAGGTGCTGACTGCAGAGAACACATGGCTACTATAATCTATTAAAAATCATGGAAATCAAGAAAGGTCCTCACCAACTGAAAAAAGACAAATATTATATTCATATTAAGACAGAAGGGAGATCAAGAAAACATTTAAAAAAGCAACCTCACTTTTTACACCATGAAGTTCACAAATAGCATTGATTTGGAATTAATTTCTGAGCACACACAGAAAACAATGCAATCAGGAACAACACACAGAGATTTACCAGTAGGCAAATCATGCTCTACCTGTATTAATGACTGCCATGATGCAACACAGCATGAGGGATCTGAATTGTGACATAGAATGCAAAGTTGACAAATTTCTACATGATGCTAAGAAAAGTGACTGACATAACAAATGACAAAAATTAATGTCAGCAAGATCTAAGGAAATGTATGGATTTTGCTTAGGAGGCAGAAGGGCCAAGATCTGCACCTAGGGCAGAGTATATGCAGATGGTGGAGAGTGACTGAAGGAGCTGCAAGGACCCAGGCTGAAAGGACTTGAGGGTGAGAGCTGATCACAAGGCCGACAATGTGCTCTTGCCCCGAGCTGGATGAACGGTGCAGAACCTGCAGCAGAAGCTACAGGGGACCTAAAGAACATGACTGGCATGGGGAGCGTGAGAGAGATGAGCTGCTTCTAGTCTGGCAAAGTTAAAGCTAAGGGCCATGTTTGAAGAAGCAGAGATAAACACCTTGCAGCAGTAGCAAACAATATGAAAGGAATTACAGAAGGGACAGTGGCCTTGAAGACCAAGATGGATAGACCAGGTTGTATGTATGGAAAAATGTGTTCGTGATAAAATACTAGGATACATAGAAAGTGTGGCTGCACCATCAGAGAAGGTTATGAAGTCAAAACTATGGCTGATCACCTCCAAAGCAAAACCAGAACACTTTTTAACCAGAAAGACATCCTAACCAGACATTTTTCTAGCATTGCTTAGCTTCATCTGCCCTAACTGCAAACGTTTGAAAGTTTGAAGATAAAATGATGATATATATTTTACCCCTCATTAATTCATATTCTGCAGGCATCAGTTCCAGGAATCTAACGTTCAGTGTGTCTTCTCCTTTTTCATGTCAGAATTTAGATCTTTTAGCTATATCTAATAATGCATTTTCAGTTCATTTGCGGCTGCACGTTTCAAATGTTTTAATTTGCTTATCTTTTTGGTTTTATTTTTGAAAATATCTCCCTTTTGCTACTCTACATTTAATCATTGTTTGTTTACTGTATCCTTGAATACAATCAAAAACATGAAGACATTTTAAATCCTAATTACAGACTTGTTTAAGTGTGAGGTAGAATCCTCTCTAATGTCAGAAAAGTAATAATTTTGCAAAGTAAAAAAAGGGAGTTATATAGTGATTTCATTTAGTTAAATTCATTCCACTCAAAGCAACACATGGGTAGTTCAAAAAGAACAAAGCCATAACCAGCCAGATGGAAATACTTCTCATCCATTTACAAGATACTCTAAATTAACTTAGAAATCTCTGTTTAAACAGCCTGTAGTAAAGATGGTGTCCTTAGTTAGCTTTTGCACACAAATAGTATGCATTTACTTTAACAAAAGATAAAATCAGTACAAATAACTGAACTAAAATAAGCCTGTTAACCATCCTGCAATATCTCCTGCTCAGCAAAAAGAAGAGGGCATACGACCAACAGAAATTAATTCCCAGCAGATTAATTAAGTTTGTTTTATAATGTCACAGTGACAACTGTGGTTTGAAAACAGAGGAATGAACTAAGCATAAGTCTCTTTTAGTAATATGAAAGCAGAGAGCATTACAGAGAAGCTGGAGAAAAAGCAAGCATTTTTTTGAGAAATAGATGAAAAACAATTTTAAAACCAAATGTACTGTCCTATTTCATCAATAGCACCACAACTATAAGAGTGATAGTCACAACAGTAATTAATATTTTGCTCACTGAATTATAATAATTAGAAATGTATGCACTTTTGCAGATACAACAACTTAAAACATTTTTCTCTAGGAAAAAGACCTTATTGTACAATTGTTTTCCCACAATATATTATTGCTGTTGCAAAATCTGTTTAAATGAAAAAAAATAATAGGCAAGATCAAATAAATTTCATTGCATTCCACATTATATATAGATTTTGGTTCATTTATAATCTTAGATTGTCTGGCAATTTAATTTTCAAAAGTCTTAAATCCTGGGTTTTAAATCCTGACTGGGTCTTCTAGTAATATATTTCAGGTATTAATCTCTCTAACAAAATAAAGTGTCAAACTCTCCACTATAAATAATGGGTTTGTCATATGCCCAATTGCTGTCAGTTTGGTGGAAATGTGTGAAAACTCCCCAGGTATCCAAATATAGGTAATTCAAAGGAAGTTTGTCTGATCAATGTGGGGCTCAGATTCTCAAAATCTGTTTCTCATACTGATTATCCAGGTGGTTTCCACTCACAACTTGCAATGCAACTATACTTGTTGGTAAAAGATATTTATTTCAGAGACAAAACTAAGGAAACAATTAAACAGATTCATTTTATTTTAAAGAAATATGTAATCAGCACTAATCAAAAGACTGTTTTTTTTTTTTTTTTAATTTGGGATTGTTTTGCTTCCTGAAACATTAATCTCTTGCTTGACATTAGTCTTCTTAATAACTACACGTGTCTATTTAAATCTCAGTAGATAAACCTCAATGTACCACATTACTGAACAGGTGAATTTTCAATAATGACATTACCCCCAGAACATCATCCTTTACCCATCTTAAAGATTTTTTTTTCCCTATGCTTTCCATATGAAAGCTCTTGGCTGGTTTTGCTAATTTGTTTGTGCCTCTGTAAAGTACATAGCACATGTTGCAAAAGTAGAATTTTCTGCTCCCTGGTCTCAGTTTATGTAAATGGAATAGGTGAGTCACAAACATAGCTGACATTGATCCAGAACACACATGTAGAAATTCACCTGCATTATACTCACCCTGACACAAATGTGTCTTCACTAGAAGCAAAATCAGGATCACTTCATTTAGCAACTCTCAATTACTATTTTTCCTTTTCTTCTCACAGCCCCTCATTCCCATAAGCTTTCAGCATATGCAATATGTTTTGAGTGAAAGAGTTCCACAGCTTCCCTTCACATTGCTTACATAAACACTTTTGTGTTATTTTTGAGCTACCCAGTGGCTGGATTTGTTTGATGACCCCTGTTCCACACTCAATGCCATTCATGATCTTGTCACTCTACTTCTCTTTCACACCTCTGTTGAGCAGAAGAATTATTACCTGCTGTCACTTCACAGACAGAATCAAATTGTACTGTTTTATTTTTCTACCTTTTCATTCATTCTCTGAAGCTTTTTCAGTTTGATCACATTTTTTGTTTTCAGTTTGATCACATTTTTTGTTTGTTTGTTTGTTTGTTTGCTTGTTTGTTTTCCAGTCAAGGAACTGGGCATAGTATTTAAAAAGTTAAATATCATATTAGGCTATTGCATATCTGTTGCATACAATGAAGCATGCAACGTTCACTTATTTTCTCTGCTGCTTTCCTAATAAATGTTAACTGCATACTTCCATTTTTTCTGCCCTCCTAAGCACAAGACCAACAATTTCACAAAAACATTTAACTGCTAAATTAAAGCTAAGTGAAATATATAAAATATAAAATTGTTTTAATATCAGTTTATATTTATCTTTATTCAATTTAATTTTTAATTTTAATAAAATTAATTTAGTCTGTCATTCAGGACCTCTCCTATTTATCATCTTTATTAATTTAGTATGATCACCAAATTCACCACTTAACTATACACTACTTTTCCAGCATATTCACATGTTCAAATATATTTTGAAACACATGGATCACAGAATATGTCCCTTGGAAATTCACTCTTGGCCTCTGTCGCCTGTGAAAACTGACACAAAAATCACTATTTTCTCCAATATTTTTCATCTTTTTATGAAGTTAGGAACTTTCCTCTTAGCCAGCTGCAGTTTCTTTTGTGTTTTCTCTTAGCCATCTGTGCAATTTCCTGTGGTGTTTGGTAATATTGACACCGTTAGATGTGTTTAGCTCTTTTTAGAGATACATTATTGAAGTTTGAATGCTTTTGCCTCATAGTGATTCAATGGACCATACTCTTTCAATATAAAACTGGCAACATAGTTGCAACCTCACATCTCAAAAGCTATCAAAATAACTTTAAACAAAGAATTTCATTCCACAGGCATGATTTGGCTACTTCACCCCGGAGTGTCTTTAAAAATCTTAGCTTTATATCCCTTCATTTTGTTTTGTACCACCTCAAACTGGCAAACCATGACTTCATATGAGCTCCCCCACAAAAAAAAATAATGTGTGAGAACCTACAAAAGTTCTTCCACAGCATGAGCAGAGTTAAAGTGTTCTGACCATCTTGTTCCTAAAGCTTCTTGCAAGTGCTTCTGTTTTCCTTGATTATCTTTCAGCATTACAGATGGTCTCCCAGACTTCCCTCTGCTCTGCTGCAGAAACAGAATTTCTTAATTCTAGTTTCTTTCAACTATTTTAATTAAGAAATCTCTTAAGTATCTTGGAGTTGATTTGATTAATGTTGCTCTGGGTTTGTTGTTTGGGGTTTTTTTTTCTTTTTAAATTTGTATTTAGTCTTACATTTAATCCTTACACTTTCTTTAAAAATCTTCAACTATCTGAAGGACTTCTTGCCCTCAGTAGCCTCTGATACCCTGCTGATTAGCCGTGTGGTTTCCCTTTTACCCTTTCTCAAGCCTTTCTAGCTAAGCAGAATGTATTTACTCTCTTCCTTCAAGAATAACTTGAATAGTCTCTATGCCATCTGCCATGACTTTACCCTATTCCTTCCAGATTCTCCTGAACAGGAGTTCTTGCTTATAATTATCTTTTCTGAAATTCAGCCCAGCTGTGGGGAGATTTCATGGCTTCCTAGCAGATCTGCAAGGACATTGAATCTAGAGAGAGAAGTATTTTGAACAACATCCTTTTTTTTCCCCTCTCATGGCATCTTCAATAGTCCAGTTCATGAAAATCATTGATTTAGTCTCAGTAGTCCTCTGAGATTCCTTCTATGATCCAGTCTCAGTAACAGCTTCCTCCCTAGCAGGACACTCCTGGGCAGAATGGTGGCTGTCCTTCCTCCAGCTCTCCTTAGACAACAGCCTACCACTGTCTTGTGGTCAGCTTTTAGTAACAACATCACTGCCTTGCCATGTACCCAGCACACCACTGATCACAGGGGTAAAAACAAAACCTGTCCCTTGGGGATATTCTCAACATGTGACACTTGGAGCAGCTCTGTCAGGAGGGACACTTGTATATCACCCTGGTGATCACCAGGTTTTCATAGTCTTTGTCTTCCGCTCTGTAAAAGAGCTATTTTAACATATCCCAATTTTTCTCATGAAAGATGGCGATCCTTGTCTTTTAAAAATTTCAAGTGCTGAAATTCTGTCTTGCAGACAAGTCTAGATCTGTCAGCATTTTGTTTTGCACACCTCATCCTTTCAAACTTATTGGCTGCTCCAGGTGGCTTTTCAGATGCCCTCTAAGGGAACAATGCACTATTAGGCCAGAACTATTTGTGTAGGCCTTTCTTGTATGCATGACACAAATACCCACAAAAGGACCCATTAGCTGCTGAAAAGTCATCTCAGGGGAAAAAGTTCTCCTGGTGTTGTCAGTATGCTTGGATGAACATAACGGAAATACCACAATTTTTTTGCTGTTCAATAGATAATATAATTATCTCCTCCGGTTTTAAACTACAAAATTTCAGTGATAATTATTTGCCAGCAATTTCTGAAATTGTGTTGAAATGCTATCTGATGGGAGTATCTGCACAATATGCAGACATCATCTCAATTTATATCCAATATTGAATACTTATCTAAGAATTTAATTTAAATCAAGAAAATTTCTGAATTTCTCCCAGTGACACTGCTACTAAAATAAGACATGATACATAACACTGTATGAGTGTGCACGCACACTGAAATTTACTTTCCAGCATGAAGTCCCAGTTAAGCAGAGGTGCAAATAACAGCATGTGATTAATGAGACCTGTGGTTTGCAGTGTTATCTTCCAATTACATCTGTCACTTAAATTAGGCCTACATGTTGGTATCTGTTCATCATTTTTGCATTGCACAAATTACATAAAACCACTCCTGGGACGAAATCATTATATTTCATATCTCATGTATTTTTCTGAAGAAAACTGAGCATTGTTTTAGGTGGGTTTTGTGCAATAAAAATTTTACACACAAGTTGATCTAGAACTCAGCATAGCAGAAAAGTATTTGCAAGTAGTAACAAATTATTCCACTGGATTTTTATTGGGCTATTTTCAAATACAGATGAATGCATTTTGTTCACAAAAATAAGAGCTTTTTCAAGTGTTATTATTGGACAATGATGGAAGTGTTCGAATTATTATTCTGAAATTTTCTTATTGTTTCAATAATGTTGTTCCCTTCTTAAACAACTGAATACTTGTCTCAAAGAAGAAGCTCTCCAATTTTAAAATACCGATAATCCAAAAAAGGAGGAAAACCAAGCCCATGCCAGTTATGTGTCCAAATAAGTTATTCTAATGATACAGGAATGACATCACAGTAAGAACACTATAAGCCAAAAGCTGAATTGTGTGTGAACAAAACACAGACATCATTCTTCAACAAACACAAAGGTTTCATTTATCCATTGCGCCAAAGGAAATTGACCACTAACTTTCATAAAATGAGTCAAATCATAAGATCATCCCAATTTTTGCCAAATGAAGGAGCCTAACATAAATATACTTAATTTTCTGATTTCCTGACAAACTTCAAAAGCTGTTTATGGCTTCAGAGTCACAAGCAAAGACAGAGGTCTTTCACCAAAGAATACAGTAACATGAGCATCTTTTGCAGTAACAGGACTTGTGGCACTTACTTCAGCAGAGCTGGCATTTCATTCATGAGCAGGTAAGGGTGCCATGCGTGCACACGCACACACAAACATACACGCATTACACTTGTTAGCACATTAGAGCAGAGCAACACATTTTTAAGACATCTGCCCTCCACAAAGTTAACCCACAGATTTTTTGAAAATTATTTCTGTTGTTGAAAGGTATTTTTTCTGGTAGTGAGCACTTAAAAGCACTTCAAATGCTTCTATAAAGCAATGAACTGGAAAAAAAAAAAGCTATTCAGCTTCTTAAAAATCAGATACATATAACTGGAATTAAGACACATTATTTAAGTGAACTGGGAACCAAATGCATTACTTTTCTCTTTGAATTACACATAGGCTAATGGACTAAGAAAAAATGGAAAAAAAATTTATTCAAAACAGCTCTAGCATTGAAATGTTCAGTAACTCTACAACAAAACACTGCATTAGTTTGATAACAATGACTGTTCTTAACTGCAAACTGTAGATTGTTCTAAGAAACAATATTTTATTCTGTAGCTTTTCAAATTATGAGCAAATAGTATCAAATTCATGGTCCTGTCAGTATGCCAAAACAAACAAAACACCAAACAAAAACCTTAGCACACACACCCCCCCAGAAAAACCCAACCCCCTGATGATTAAATCAGTTTTTGAGTAAAATGAGACAACTGGCAAAAGGTCTTCGTATAATTTGGGAAACCACCATTATTTGACTACATTCATTTCATTCTTAAACATCCAAATTTTCACTTAGTAAAACTCATTGATAATAAAAACCCTATCCCATTATATATTTAATTTCTTCCTGTGGATATTAAAATAAACTATGTTCTGAAATTAAGAGTTAAAATACCTCCTTTTGTTTTCCATACATATTTGCCTATATAAATATACTTCATCATTTTACAAATTACAGTATTTATATTAAAGCTTTCATTCAGCAAATCATTACAGCTTAACAAGAACAAACAATCCCTGTGTTTTGGTTCTGTCTTTAAATCACTTTTGGAGATAATGAAAACCAGCCAAAATGAGTGACTGCAAATAATACAAACAACACATTTATTTAGAAAAATAAACTGAAAATGTTGCTTGTCTGTTAGATTTCTCCATGAAGCATAGACAAATGGCTAGAAAAATTTTATGTCAAGTACATATTACAAATGACTTCTTTAGCAGTAACTGGGACTAAATGTCAATGTTCAACAGGAACGTTTTTTGATGTATAATTCAATAGATTAAATTTCTCGGCTGCTAATATGATAAAAAAAATGGATGCTATTAAAAAAGATTATATCCCCTTTTTAAATACACCTTATCATGTTGCTGTTTTTTCATATATATACATATGTATATATGTATGTATATGCATGTATTTATTTCATCCTAAGAAAGGACCATAATCCTTTCTGTGAAGAGATCCCCATAGTAAAAGAGAGCATAAATGTTTCTTCAGTTCTAACTTTTAAATTCCATTTGGAGCCCTGGCAAAGTATAGCTTGTTGTGGTCAAAAATCTCCTGGGGCCATCTGTGCAAATGGTGGCACACATCATTACCCTGAATGGAAGTGACAGTGCAAATAACAGAAGTGCCTCGAGATGCAATCTCTAAGAGCAGAACTTCCTCAAAGTTGGGTGGAGGACAGGAGAGAGCATCCTTTTAAGTGACTTCCCTTATGCCCTGTTCCTGTATGGCTTTGAATACATACAAGGGACAACAGAGGTCTTCTTCCCCACAGACAGTAACATTTCTCTGTTACAATAAATGCATCCATTTTCTGAAATTACTAAGTGCTTCCTTTTTCCTTTTGGCTACATATTGAAATATTTGTTGATGTTGGCTGTACCCATAAAAACCTCCTTGTTTGGTACTCTTGTTGCTCAGCACAGGACTCAGGTGTTAGGCCTGGAAACAGCAGTTTCTGCAATGGGGCAAAACATTGAGTTCTCTTATCCTTCTTTCCCACTGAATGGAATTTAAGGCTGTGGCTGTTGCCAGGACTCAGCTTCTAGCTGTCAGATCTGAGAAAGATGATTCAATGCAGATTACACTAGTGCTCAGTTGTGCTCTGACTTCAAGGGTTCTTCCATTCTCCACTAAAGGTCAGGTTTCCTGGTTACTTCTCAGATCTGGCCTGCAAGAAGTCACAATGATGAATCTGATACGCAAATTAATTGACGTGCCTCCAAATACAGATATTCCTTCAAGCCTGAAGGTGCTGTTAAAAAGAAAAGAAGGGCAAAGTTATAAAAAATGTTACTTTAAAAAGACAAGTCAATAAACAAAATATAATTTTTAATTATCATTTCAGTTTTCATGTAAGCAGGAGTTAAAAAAATAATGGTATTTTGAAATGATCTTCTATAGTAGCACTTTATTATGTATACAAGCCTTTTTTTCTGGGGTAAATGGGTTTGACTTCAGTGGTGTCTTTGAAATCACCTTTTTCAAGGTGATTACTTGCATCTCCTGTGAAATCTGGACTCTAATACTTGTTAATAAATTAAACAGAAAATGAACTCAGCAGAAGCTCCCCATCTGACAAGTAAGTTTTCTAGTCACAAAAATATTATATATAATTCTGATTTGGGTCTTTCATATTCATTTTTGTGAAACTGTTTTAATTTTTATAAAACACTAATAATGCTGCAGTCTAATGCTGAGGTTCACTGACCTACTGAGTTTTCCTAGCTTTATTTATTAGGGAACATAAAGCAGCAGTATCTAAAAAAGACACCTTATAATACTTACTTGTTGGTAGCTAGGACACTAATTTAGGTTAAAGTATTAAATTCACACCTCCTGAGGAAAAGAATAACAACTTCCTCATGCACTTCTGGTGACTTACACCTGAAGGTACAAACTTCAATGAGGAGGAAGATCACTTCTTTGCCATTAGCTTTGTGAATCTAGCCCCTCATTCACATTTCCTCATATTTCTTACTTGAACCACTTACATAGACAAAGATTTTCATGAGGTAGGACAGAATTTCACTGTCAGACAAAAAAAAAAGGAATCTGAATTTAGTGTAATGTAAATTCTTTTTGGTTGTTCCCCCAGCACTAAATGAAAAGATAAAACACTTAGTGAAATTTATTTAACACTCAGAATTGTTACAGTGGCCCAGTGTAACCCAATAGCCTAGCAAACATGGTAGATTTGTGATACCACTAGCTTAGCAGGAAGTTGTTTTCCTAGTCAAGTATTCAGGGTTTGACTCACATTGTTAATGAAAAAGAAGAGTGTTCTAAACATCTGTTAGCAGCTTACTTTTAAACGGAAGTCAGCCTTCATATCACTAAAAACACACAACATTTTCTCAGCTGTCACAGTTTCAGGCTTCAATTACATTTGGGCTAATGATTCCTGTATGTTATTATCTCATTAGAATCACCAAAAAAGACAATATTATCCTTAAATGCAGCTTATTTCTCAGGAACAAGATTAATATGGTACAACGAACATACATTTAAAAAAATGACAATAATAGTCACAAAAGAGATAATGCAAATAGAATGTCTTGTCAGAAAACAACTTAAATTCTGAATACAATAAAATACAATGCTAAGCACAGTAGACACGAAGAGCAATATGATCCTTTCCTCTGAGTTGTAATTCATAAAACTAGACAATATCATGCTGTTATAGTTTAATCCCAGTCAGCAATTAAGTAATATGTGGTTGCTCAATCACTCCCTACCACAGAGTGGGCTGGGGAGAACTGAGGAAAAAAATATATAAATCCAAATAAAATTAAAGTATTTTAATAATAATGATAACAAAAACAACTGTAACAAAAGTGACACTTAAAAAAAAAAAAAAAGAGATAAATAAACCTCAAGAAAGAAAAGGGATAGACAATTCAATATGGCTCACCAGCTGCTGGCTGATATCCAGCCTGTCCTCAAGCTGTATGGTCAGCTCCCACCCAACCCCCTCAGTTTATTGGACATGAGTTTATGGCATGGAATGTGCCTTTAGCCAATTTGGGCCACCTCTCCTGATTTTGCTCCCTCATGGTTTCTTACGCACTTCCTCACTGGCAAAGCAGAGGAAGCTGATTTAGGGTACACACTACCTAGCAACAACAGAAATACCAGTGTATTAATCATCATTATTCTTATTCTAAATCCAAAACACTACTAAGAAGAAAATTAACTCTGTCCCAACCAAACCCAGGATGACTGCTTACAAAACCAGGAAGTGATTTATCAAGTATACTTGAATTTCTCCATCATTTCTGTCATAGAGTCGTCAACCCACGCAATTCAATTCATTCCATACAACCATGTGCCATCCACCCTCATTTCATCAATATTCTACCAACGAAGAAAAGACTGCCTTCATTTCTTTATACTAACTGTGCTAAAGAGTAAAAACTATGAAAATATTTTGCACCTTTCCATATTAATAAAGAATACGTTTAAACTAAAAATTATGGTTAAACTTGCTCAGCGGAAAATTCATTAGGTACCAATGCCTGCATCAAAAAACCAGCTGTTCCTCTTGCTACCTCCCCCAAAAATCTGTATTTGCAAACCATTATTGTACACATGAAGAAGTGAGCAGCAAGAGAAAGAAGACCAGTCACTGAAAAAAAAGTGACCTGCCTACTAATTACAGACTCCTATCCTGAATTGTCTAGCTTTTAATCCCATAGTCTGCTATCCTTTTGATAGCAAGGCTGTACATTCAGATATGTACATTTAATTCATCATTACAAAATAATTTTGTTACAGCATATCTTATCAATAAACTCATAATAAAACTCTGACCCTATTAAAGTCATTATTAGGGAGCTAGGGCTCAGACAATTTACAGGAAACCATTTTGTTCACTCACGTCCCTTCTCCTTTTCAGTACGTGGGCAGCATCGCCAGGTCATTCTCTTCCTTCTACAGCATCATTATTAAGTCCCAAAAGCTAGAGAATCAAAGAAACCAATGTTGCTCTTCTCCCCATTATTCAAAACTAGATAACCACTCTTCTGTACTAAAAAATAAATTTTACTTTGCTGCATGTATTACCTGAAAACCATCTATGTCCTTCTGCTTTTTTCTGTTTGTTAGAATCTTCTTAAAAAACTGAGAGAGAGTCTAGTCACATCTACAAGGAATCCTCCTTTGCATCATGGCCATGACCATATTGACTCTGGACAAATTGCTAAGCAGAACCCTGTGAATGGAAAATGTTTAGGGACAAGGCTACTAAGGGAAGCTTACTTTCAACCTCAGGCCCATGAAACGGCTGCCCCATTCTCAGATGCAGAGAAACCACTGCATTTATTGGTCTTTAAATAAAGTCTTTAAATAAAGACCAATAAATCCAGTGACATGATTGGAAGACATCAAGAAAATTATAGAGAAGACATCATCAACTTTGAAGTGATATGTTCAGTGAGGATGTCAATAACCACAGAAAGGAATACTTTTAGTGATGGTTTCTATACTGGGCCTCGTGCCCTTTATCAAGAAAAAAGGAGAAAACAACTACGAAATGTATTTCATGTTCAATTGAGAAAGGGAGATTTACTTGATTCTTACTAAGCCATGTAATTTCTCCTTCTTTTTAAGTCTGGTAGAAGCACCTGGAAGACCAGCCGAAAAAAAAAGCTTTGTTATTTGGGCTATTTTAGCCCAGACAGGATAATTTGGACATATGTTATTACCTGTCTTAAGGACACTGCATGTCAGAGCACATGCTCTGTTATTAGTTCTACTCACATATTTAGGAGTACAACAAAAGTCCTTATGTTTTGAAAAAAAAATTACAAAAAATTATATAGTAATAAATCTTTCTAAACATAGTGCAGATATCTGTTAGGTATTGTTTAAATACTAATGGCATCTGTTAAGTTGTTGTAGTGGCTTTGGTTGGCCAATTTGAGATTTCCTGGCCAATGCACCAATTCATTGGTGGGTCTAGCACTGGCTAAATGCCAGTGTACTCACTAGAATATACTTACTAATTTCCTGCTCTGATATAGGATGCGGAGGAAGGAAAAGCAGGCTCAAAACTTTAAAAGGGTATAAAGAAAAGTTTATTAGCAGAACTGAAAGAACTAAAAGAATCAGCATAAAACCTTCAGAACACTTCTCCTCTCCCTACAACCTTTTCTTTCCCACTACCAATGTACAGAAACAATTCAGTCATTTTATCATGTCTAGAATACTCTTTCTTCAATTCACTAAGGGAGACTTAGTGAATTGTCTTTCCATGGAGACTTCTCCACAAGAAAACAATTGGTTCATGGCTTTTAAATTCCACGAATAGCAGCCGCCCAGGAATCTGCAATTGTGAAGTCCCTCCCATCTTTTCACAACCTTCCCACACCTGCATTTATGGGCCTTGTCAACTTATGGTGTACATATTTTACGGATGAGCTGTTCAAGAGCAAAGATTCACATTATCTATCTCTATGATCATCTTAATCTCTGGGAACAGAGGTCTTCTTCTTTCCCTGGGCGCAAAGAGTCTTCTCTCCTCAGTTCAAACTCTTCTGTCTCTCTCTGTTCAAACTTCTCATGGGATCACAGCTTTTTCAACATCTGCTTGTTTTATCATAGATGCCTTTGCTACAATTTGAACGCTTCATCCCCCACACTCTTCACTGAGTTACAGGGAAAAAGAGTCTTATGTATTAATTACATTCTTCTCCATAGCTTTACAAGAGGTTTTCAGCCCAAAACTAAAGGCATCTCCTCATTTTCCTTCCCATCTGAAATTTGGCTTCTTCTTTACTGACTTCAGTGTCTAATGTTGCCTTCTACATGTCTTTACTCTTTTTCTTTTCTTTCACTCAAGAAAGGACCAATGCTTTGCAAGTTTTATCTATCTGTGCAGTGAAAGGGTTAAATCACACCCAGGCCTGTGGGTCATCCCTGCCAGGCAGCCCGGAGCACTTACAGTGATGTATTTCAGCCCGCACTGGGGGCTGTGTCAGAGTCAAAGACCATGGTCAAAATCCGTGGCTGGCTTTGGTTTTTGCTGCGTTCAATTCCAGCCACAGGGCCGCTTTCTCTGCGGGCCGCAGGGCGGCCTCTGGCCTCAGCCACAGGATCTCGTGAGGCGGCCGCGCTGGGAAAGGAGACCTGGTTACAAGATGTTATTACAAGATGCCCAGTCCTGCCTCAGCCAAGGCCCACAGCCTCCCCTCTCCCTGCCTGGCAGCTGCTGGGGCCTGGAGCTGCCTCAGCCAAGGCCCATGGCCTCCCCTC